GAAGAATACGTTGGCAGTCGACATCACAGTGTGGTGAAAAATCATCATTTTCGCCTATCTTCAAACAGAATAGTAACACAGAAATTCAAAACGCTCAGCTCTTTATAAAGAATCTTTAGAAAGGACTAGAGCCCGAATCAATAGCGAAATTCCCAGATCATCCCCGACGAAAAGAGGGTAGTGAACCCGAAGGTAAATACGAGATGGGGCGAAGCTCAAAAATGTGAGCAGGATAACACGAGGACGTCGCAATAAGTGAAATAGCAGGGACATGGAAGGTGGTTTTACTGACGGAGGAAAACGCAATCTAGGAGTCATGCACACAAGTGATCGAAAGAGGAAGAAAAATTAAAACACTAAACCTAGAACCACTCAAGAGACCTATACCGAAAGACAAAAGGTTAAAATGGAAGGAAATAAGCATGTAGATCCGACCTGGATAGCCGAGGCCGCTCAAGCAGAAGGGCCGTAGGTGCATCGGGCCTGAAAGGTCGCGGGTTCGAATCCTGTCCAGGACGTGGATGTTTGTGTGCGTCCGTTTACAGTACGCAAGTTCCTCTATCGTTACCTCGAAAGTTCAAACCCAAAGGAAATTACAGAGATCGCTGTAGAACCTATTAGTTGAAAAGGAATAACTTTGAAGGAAAAACCATAGAAAAATTTAGGGTGATTAGCAAAATTACGTAAATAGAGAGGAATATATTAGAGGTGAGAATGGCAGCCAGAATGATGACACGAAAATAAATGTGTCCCTATGTAAAATGTCATTTTGACACAATAAACGTTTTAACATTATGTGAGGTTGCATTGAAATGGGTATATTCTCGGCAATATCAGTATTTTCTTAGATTTGAGGAAAATGTGATTTGTTTGAACATGACGAAAGATAAAAAAAACGAAAACGCCGAGCATCTCGTAGGTCAAAGCTCCAACGACAACGCGTGAAATAAAAAGATAATGAGGTGCGAGTTCGGTCACGAAGAATTTTAGGGAAGATCAATGAAGCCCGAAGGTGAAAGGCGAGGTGAGGGCGGTAGGCGGTGGCGGTGGCGGTGGCGGTGGCGGTGGCGGTGGCGCCCGCGTGCCCACGCCGCTGCCACCGCACGCTGCCCACGCCAAGCTCCACCGAACCGCATCGCCACACGCCGCTGCCCACGCCCGCTACGCCCAACCGCACGCTGACCTCACGCCGGCTAAGCCACACGCCGCACTGCAACCACGACCAGCTCCCACGCCGCTGCCCACGCCGCCATGCCCCACGCCGCTCGCCCACCGCCGCCACCTGCCCACGCAGCGCTGCCACACAAGACGCTGCCGACCACCAAGACGCTGCCCAACGCCCGACATGCCCACCCCATCCATTGCCTGCAGCCCATTGTATTTTTACAATTCCTATTTTGGCGACTCTCCTTAGATTTGTCTCGCCCTCCCCTTTGCTATTGACCAGTCTAACCACACAACTAGCCACATTGCCCAGAAATTTTACGCATTTATCCTGTAATACAGCTGTTGCCACTATAATGGCTTTCCTGTTCATTCCTTCGGCACACCACCTGTTTTATTTAGCCGGTCTTCTCTTCCATTTGGAGCACTCGAGCAACACTCTAAGGTTCGAGATCCTGACCGCCTAGAGAGTTACTTCCGGTACTAGATAGCTTCATCCCAATTAGTCGCATGTTCTGAAGAAGAATCACTAGTAGCCCCCCCGGTCTGGCTGTTCTTATTGTTGATCACCGTTATAAACCCATCATGCCACTACGCCGGCCCTTTTGGCGGGAATCCGATACCAGTACGGAGTACTGTTCTATCCGCCCACGGATCACACGAGCACTCGCCAATTTGAATCAGTACTTACATAACACCAGGTGACCCACTGCCCGAAACAACCTAAACCAACCCAAAATCAACGGACAGCCCACCATTAAGACCAATATATTTTTCTATTCCTTCTCCTTGCCAAATCCCAAGCTCTTTCTTACACCAGTCTACACTTACAAGACTGCACTACTCGCCCTCATGCATGACCGGAACTTCCAAGTTACTTTCTTTCATTTACCTTCACCATCGTGTCTGAAAATAGGCCATAGGTCAGAAAAATACCAGTAATCATCGATAAATTATTGCAACCTCGTTACTACCATACTCCTCCTATCCTCCGTACAAAACCAAAAAGACGGCGCATCCACTCCTACCTCCCTACTACGCAGAACGACGAACAGAAGAGTACCACAACCGTCACAGCGAGCAT